AGACACTAATAAGAACAATTATTAATAACAGTGCACCTATAATAATAATTGATAACTGAGCACCAAATCAGCATATTAGAATGATTTCTGAAGAATCATGACACTGAAAACTGGAGTAATGGCTACCGAAAATTCAGCTTTGCCATCACAGGACTAAATTAAACTTAACAATATTACTGTTTTACTGTATTTTTGATCAAACAAATGCAGCCTTGGTAAACATAAGAAATCATAAACATTAAAAAAAATCTTAATTATTCCAAACTTTTGACCTGTAAGTGTGTACACACACTTAAACCTTAAATCAACAAACAGAGCTCAGCAATGTTTTTTGCTTTTTGACAACAAAAGTGGACAATATGAATGAACTATTAGCATTCAAAAAATGTAATACTGTCGTAAGTTATATATATTTGATCTGGAAACTGCTTTAAATGTAACTGCAATACAGTCCCTCTTCATTTGCCTTTTCCTGTGCCTTTTGCGTTGACGTGAGCTGCAGATCTGCCACGCCAGCAGCTCCAGAAACACAAGCGCGTCTGTTCTGCTCATTCTCTATATGCTCTAGTCTAGATCTTAACCAGTCAAAATAAGACCAACAGTAGCAGATAAACTGTGTAAACACTCGCGTCGACTGCTGAACTGTTGCCTCGGATCAACCCAACACTGCCCTTTATTTATCAACCAGATCACACCAGAACGTCGTTAACAGAGCTCGACAGGAACTTGATCTAGTTACTCACCTGTCAGATCTAGACATCGACGGATCATCCTCCTCTCCTTCTTTCTGTTGCACCTGAACATCACTTTGGCTCATTGTCATCGCCATGTTTGTGTGCAGCTAACGCGCGAAAACGCATGTCCGGAAGTGCGCTTGCGTCATGCTCGCGGTGGCGCCTGGCGCGTAGTAAATACGAATGATCCTTGTTTGTTTGTTTTTTTTATTTGATATATACTAACATATATTAATATGCTTTATAAGGCTACATATTACTATTATATTTCACCGTTATTTGTTATTTTGTTTAATTACAAGGTTCTTTATAATATAACCTACTTAACGTTATGTATTTTCGAAAAAAATTATTAAATCTGAGGGCGTGCACGTTTATTTCCATTTATGGTTAGGTATACAGGTGTGTGTGCGTGTGCAAACTGCTAAATTCTAATAGGCTACAAATAGTCAATAATTTTGATTTGAAAGTTAACTTTCACTTTCGTTACATTTTATTTTAGCTTAAGCGTTTAAAACGGTGTTTAAAACAATGCCTATGTGAGACGGTATGTGTGCACTCACTTGTTGCGTCATGACGTCCTTTCTACATTTTTGTAGGCCAAAACGCCACGAACTGAATAGAACTTGTCAATTTGTTTTACAGACATGTACACCCCTTCGCACTGCAGCCAGAAATGCGCCGCACATGATTTGTTCCGAACACTAGGCAGACTCATTCATTCGCATCAGAAGCAGACTTCATTCACGTAAAACATGCGCTGCCGCCTTTTACCAATCCTAGCCTACTACAGTGAAGGATTAATTCGGAATTATTAATTATGTCCTGGTGACGTTGCTTGGTAGCTATCCAATGGCGAACGACTGGCTTTTGAATATTACATTTCTAATGATGACGTTGCTTTCATAAGCCTACCTTTAGCTCATGAATATTAATAACCATGCCTCGCCATAGTAAGATTCGTAAATGAGTTGACCGGACTGCTGAATCTTCTGCACCAGATCCATCCGATCTCACCCACAGCCAAGTTTGCCGACTCCGCATACAGCACCGGAATTACTGACTGCACGCTTGTTTTCTCTTTTCCGTAGATCTGATGCAATGAGTGCTTTCACTCATTTCTTGAATCCTTCGAAAATGGCTTGGAAGAATTATAATTTTGCCGTCTAATTAAAAGCGCATATTTTAATATTCGGTACGGTTTTTATTAATTCGTTTTTTCACTGGTCACTGAAGCTGCACAGGACCATGGATCCTCCACCGTCTTCAGAGAAATCGCATCTCGTCAACGAAAGAAATGCCAAAATATACTCCTTAAAACTTAACAGGTAAAATGATATTAATCTATTTCAATTATTTAATAATAATAGGCTAATAATAATAATTTGGGAGATATTAGTGTGATTCTAAAATGCATGGTTTGGAAATTGGTGCACAATTAATGATCAGAATTATAAAATTGATCTGTATGTTGTGTAGCATTGTATGGAGAATCAAACATTAATAATAATAATAATAATAATAAAATGGCAATTTAAAATAGTTAAGTCTTATTGACAATATCTAAATCTTTCCAAAATCCTCTCAACATTACAGACCTGTCACAGCGAACAGATGCATGATATTTCCACATTGTGACACTAATTCAAAAGCCATATGCGCCAGTCTTGCCTCGTGAAAGCCATCCATGTTTATTCTGAAAACAGACGTAAATTAAATTGTGTATTTGTTAAGCATGCAGTGCGTGAGATGTTTAATTAAAAAAAATAATAAATCTATGCTTGAGTTCATTTTGGACATTAACCTTTTTGAGCAATGGCCTCAAGTAAGTTTAGTGAGCAGAAGAATGAACGTAGTCTACATAGCATGGCTTCCATATGGGCTAAGCTTTCCATTGTGTTTCTTAAAGTAATAAAAATCAGATGAAAAAAAAACACAATTGTTATCAAACTCTTCATAGACCCTTTCTCTTCCTCTGCACGCCCTACTAAAATGATCCTAAAGCAAGCAGGTGATAGAACAGTTTCAGCACCATGGACAGATTCACTTCGGTTGTTAATATTAAAAAGAGCAACGCGTGAACTCAGAAATTATACTTATCATATCTACTCAGAAATGATAAATAACATACAGCCAACATGTTTAAGAAAATATTTATGAATATTATGTTATTTAAATATTATGCTCCCCATTACTCCTAATTATAAGCAGCGTCCTGGTGGTAATACATTTTTAGATTTTCGTCAGACGAAGAAATATTTTACTCAGAATTTTGGCTCATTATTTAGGCATAAATAATAGGCTAGATAAATTCGAGTATTGGTACGTAACGAAACGTCGTCAGCATTTATCACGAATAATACGAAAATATGACAGCTGTATAAAAGCTTTACAAAATAGCTTTTACATTTTTGTGGAGTTTAGGATGATGTCGAGGAACAGTACGATTAAAATGCGTAAATATAGAACATTTCATCGCACAGTTTTATTCTGAACATATGTAAAACTGTGCGATAAAATGAGTAAAAGTCAGGCGATAGTTATCACAAGCGATTGAGCAAGTGTTACATTGTTCAAGTTGTGTGCAGTGAATTGCAATGAACAGGCTGCTGTTTCCATCAGTTGGATCGTGGTCTTGAGTGAGAAATGGCGAGAGCTCATGTAAAATTCAAGCTGAATTTAGATGGATGTGGCAGAGGCGTTTACTAAAGCTGCTGAAACAAATAAAGGATCACTTATCTATTTAGCTTGGTGACATATTACATTAACAAAAATGTATTTTCAAAAATAGTACACTGATAATACATCAACAGGTCACCTGAACAAATTTCGAAGGACATGGAACAAGGGCACCTAAGAAGTAGATGCTATCCAGAATTAGGTGTTACTCTACTCAGGAAGTGGGCATTCTGTTTTATAGAGCTGTTTTCTCAAATTGAAAAACAGCCGTGCTAAATAGTCTTTAAGAGCGAAGAAAAAAAGAGAGTAGCTAAATGCGCGCGATATGATAAAAGCTCGCTATTTTTAACTATAATTATTACTATTATTAGGCTATGTTTTTATTCATCAACCAACAAATCCTGTTATATCAATTACAGAACATCACAGCACAACACTTTTCACAGTCTTGATCCTGTGACGTGTATAATATTAAAGTGCTCAGAAGCAGGACCCGGACTGCACTGCCACAAGATCGACAGCATGTTTCAGCCGAAAACCTTCTGCCACACTGTAAACATCTCCATATGCACCGTACTAAAGAGCATTTATGCATTCAATAGGAAATAGTGTTATATGAGGGACATACACTGTCTTATTAAAACATACTACAAATGCTGTTAAACCTGCATGCCAGCTGTGGTTGCCAGAAATTAATTGTAAAAAAAAAAATAATAATAATAATAATAATATAGAAATACGGTGACGTTTCAAGCATTAGGAACCATTGGTGCCAGCTGTATTTACCGATAAGATGTTACTAATATACTTTCGAAAATATCGACAACTATTGGTTGTCATCCAGCATTATAATAATAAAATAAAAAAACACAAATTTACAGTTAATAGCCTAATAGGCTAACTGACTCCTCCAGGAATGAATGTAGCCTATATTGACAAATTAAACCCAAAACACCACAATGGTAAAACTAAATACACATAAAATGAACATAAAATGTTATAAAAATAAACATAGACATACAGTAAGATTACAAAATAAGACGAAACGTAACTTAATGTATCGGCTAATCAATATGATTATAGGAACCGTAAAAGATAAGGTGCCTTATCTTTTTTTTTTATATTCTTTTTCTAAATTGGGAACAGATTTTTTTTTTTAATGATTAGTGTTTCCATTCACATTTCTCATGCAAATAAATCTCTGCACACTTCCTAATTTCAGCACAATTACAGTAGGCCTACTGTTATATTTTAATAATACTCAACGCTGCAAATGAATTCTGATTGTGAAGTCAGTAAGTAGAGTAAAGGCTCGATTTCACAGTGTCAGGAGATCAGAAAAAAAATAGGCTATGTGTTGTATGTATGCTTGCTGGTCTATGTCTGCACAAAAGAAAAAACCCCATCCAGTGCATCATGTCTGTGTCCCTGTGGGGTGATTAAACAGACGCCGTGTTCCACTCGACTGCCTCCGTTCAGCAGCAGCGCTCGTGCGCGCGTGATGCAGTACTCCGGTTATCTCATGCGCACCGAGATTGCGCTTTCCGCCCCATTAGCTCCATCATAGCGTCTCTCTCATCAACACACAAGACAGAAGGGCCAAAACCCACCATGTCAGCAGATTTAAACTCAGACTGATCTGGGTCCTCGTGGCATGAGCTGTGTATTCACACACAATATTTCCCTCTACAAAGCACTTATACATATGATTTTAATATATACACATATCTGTTAGGGTCATAGGAATGCTGGAGTCTATCCCAGCCTTTTGGGCCACATGCGATTTACATGATATGATGTTTGCACATTTTATGTCTATAACTCCCTGATAAGATAGAACCAAAAACAGGTAGTATCTGTGTGATGGCTGATTTATAATGGTGTCACTGCACATTATGTGTTGTTCTTACAGTGAATTCTCAGGTTCCAAAGAAAGTTGTCCAAACTTGCCTTTGGGAAATGGCGATATGGCTGGTGCTATCGAGCTGAAGAGGCCTGTTGGAACTCATTGCCATGGAAAAAAAGCAGCATTCGTTGAGAGCCATGAGAAACTCATTGCAAAGAAGAAGCTGTACATCGCCTCCATAGTCTGTCTGGTTTTCATGATTGGAGAAGTTATAGGTAAGAATACTGTGCCTTTTTGCAAAAAGTTTAGAGTTTACTAATATGATGAAGCCAGAATCTTTGAAGAATTAGCATAAATCTAACATTATTTTTCATAAATGTAATAGACTATATTAAAAGCACATTAAAGTTAAGGCAATGTTTTACCACTGAGTAGCTCACACAAAAATGAAAAGTTGCTGAAAATTTACATACCCTCAGGCCTTCCAAGATGACTTTGTTTCTTCATCGGAACAGATTTGGAGAAATTTGGAGCATTATGGTACTTGCTCACCAATGGATCCTCTGCAGTGAATGGGTGCCGTCAGAAGGAGTCCAAACGTAAATGCAAGCAATTAATTTTGCTATGTCTTTGAATGCCAAAGTTGTTCTCCTCACAATAAATGCCCTGGTTGCATTTCACAACCAAGTAAATGATGGATTAAGCAATTTGTCATTGTAGTTGAAAAATGCTGGATCAAAACCAGTCCTTGACTCATATTAAATATTAAATGCGATAAGCAAGCGTTTCTGTGTTTTGTTCAGCCTGTACAGCACTTTTTTGTTCAAGTCAGCATTCACAATCCAAGTACTCTTTAAAATAATTATGAGTCATTCTCTCTTTTAAACTACAAATGATGTATGCTGTGTTAGCTTTCTCCAAAGCCTTTTGTGCCTCACTTCAGTAATGTTTTCGGAGTCCAAACAGCTGATAAAAACATCACAATAATCCACAAGTAATCCACACAACTCCAGTAATAAACAAATCCATCTTTAAGATCCTCTATAACATTTCTTTCTCCAGTGAAAAAGTCTACTCGTCTGAATCAGGAGAGAATCAAGCACTGATTACAAGTGAAAACATTTCAAACCATTCTAAACTGATATGCTGGAGAGATTTTGATGTGAGAGGACAACAGAGGATGGACTTCTTCACCAGAGGAAACTTTATTATTATGGATTATGGACTCGTTTTGCCCAGAAGCAATGTTTTAAAGTTAAAACACAAACATGCAGCTTCTTACTTCAAAAGACATTAATTAATGGACTGGAGTCATGTGGATTACTTGTGCTCATTCTCTCTTTTAAACTACAAATGATGTATGCTGTGTTAGCTTTCTCCAAAGCCTTTTGTGCCTCACTTCAGTAATGTTTTCAGAGTATAATAAAATAAAGACATTTCATAATGAATAACATTTAGTGAATGCTCTATGGTGGATTATACAAGCAAATCATCTCTATCTACACTCTTAAAGATAAAGATTCTTTATTGGCATTGATGGTTCCATGAAGATCCTTTAACATCCATGGATGCTTCCCCTTGCACAAATGGCTCTTTATAGGCTTACATTTTTAAAATGTTCTTCACACTAAGAGAAAAATGGTTCTTTTAAGAACTGTTCACTGAAAGGTTCTTTGGGAAACCAAAAATGGTTATTCTATGGCATCTCTGTGAAGTCTTTATTTTTAAGAGTGTATCTCTCTAATAGTTATTTATTTTTCTCTGCTGTGATGCAGGTGGTTATCTAGCACACAGCTTGGCCATTATGACCGATGCGGCCCACCTTCTGACAGATTTTGGCAGTATGATGGTCAGTCTTTTCTCCTTGTGGATCTCCTCAAGGCCACCAACCAAGATAATGAACTTTGGCTGGCACAGATCAGGTTAGTCCAACCCATTACCTTCATGATGTTCCTATATATGCTGTTTTTTCCATGTACGTAAATAGGAGAAATTTCAAAGAATCGTTACATAACTTTTTCCCATACAACAGTAGTTCATAGTGAACACATCTGTCTGTCAAGCACCAAAATCAACAAAAAAATATCACAGAAGAAATTAATTGTTGTGCTATATTCTACATCTTCTGAAGTTATGGGATAGCTTTGGATGAGAAGCAGACTGAAATTTAAGTCAGTACTATTCCTTTAAAGCAGATTTTAAGACTTCGCTACATCCAGCTGTGATGCTAAACCATATTTGTCTCAAATGAACATCTCACAGAGATTCTGGGAGCCCTGATCTCTGTGATGTCCATCTGGATCGTGACTGGGGTGCTGGTGTATCTTGCCATTGAGAGGGTAGTAAAAAATGATTATGAAATCGAAGGCCATGTGATGCTCATCACCTCAGGTTGTGCAGTCGTGGTCAACATCATGTGAGTAGACGGACGCTGGAATTATAACAAGCTAGATGCTGCTGGCTGCTTCTTCTGAGACCAATGTTAGCAACACTAAAACATGCAATATGCTAAATTATGCTAGAAACATGCTAGCAATGTGCTAAAACGTTTTCTCTCTCTTTCAAACCTCAAGCTTTCCAAAGGTTATTTCAGACAAGGCTTTGTCAAAATTTGTCATTAAACTTTATGTCGTTTTTTTATATAGAATCTCTATTAGAAATAAAGTCAAAATTCAGATATTTAATTAGCAATTGTGGAATGTACAGATATTTGAAAAAATGAAACCGTAAAACTAGAATTTTGTTAAATTGATATGCTTTTGTGTGCATTATTGTTTATATTCCAGAATGGCCTACATTCTGCACCATTCCACGACCTTCCACAGTCACGGTTCAGGCTACCACAAGATTGATGAGAATGGGATGAGCCCTGTGGGCCATGGCCACTCCCACAGCCTCCTGGGTAATCATGGGAACACCAGTGTCAGAGCAGCATTTATTCATGTTTTGGGGGATCTCTTACAGAGCTTTGGAGTGATGGTGGCCGCCATCATTATCTACTTCAGGGTAAATGAACACTGACAAAAAGAATTATCCTAAAAATGTGTCTTACCTCTTTCAATCCCTTAAAGCCCAATATAAAATGGCATTCAGTCCAATTAACTTCCACGTGCCAATGAATATGATTAATCTGTGTAAATAATGGAACCCTTTAGTGTTCAATGATGAATCATGCACAGTAAGAGTCATTTATAAAAGCAAAAAAGGTCAATTAAATTGTTTTTAAATATTTTGTCTTATTTAATGGCTTGAGCATGTTTAATGAAAAAGAAAAGAAATTCTAAACTAATTATTTACACTTATGTTCAAAAGTCAGTATGATTTTTTTGAAAGACAAATATTTTTAATCAGCAGAATGCATTAAAGACATTAAATATATTAAAGTAAAAACAGTAAAGACATCTATAATATTAAAATAAAGTTTTCTATTTCAAATATATTTAAATGCTGAAGTTTTGAACTTATATATATAATAATATGATAATAATTTAAAAAAAAAATTTATGCATTTAGCAGACACTTTTATCCAAAGCGACTTACAGTGCATTCAGGCTATATATATATATTTTTTTATCAGTATGTGTGTTCCCTGGAAATCGAACCCACAACCTTTTGCACTGCTAACACAATGCTCTACCACTGAGCCACAGGAACTCTATATATATATATATATGTATAAATTAAATTATTAATTATTAAATTATTAATAAGTTATTTTCAAGTGTAATAGTATTTCTCAATATTACTATTTTTTACTGTATTTTGATCAAATAAATGCAGCCTTATTGAACATAAGAGCCCTTTAAAAAATCATACTGACCCCCAATTTTTGGACAATAGTGTGTATGCTTTTTTTTAGATAATCAAATTGAATTCTCTTGAAAAGGAAGAGGACACTGAATTCTTTTCACGACTCTTGAAAGCACTTGAGTGGAGAATGTTTCTTCTGACATTTGCAGTCTAATTCATTTTGACACTTTGCGAAGAACCATCTGATTTTGTTCTTTAATGCATCAGTGCCCCCTATTCTCTCTCCACCTTCTAATGCAGCCAGAATACAAAGTAGCCGATCCCATTTGCACTTTCCTCTTCTCCGTGTTCGTCCTGTGTACCACAACTACCATCCTGAGAGATGTCTTCCGCATTCTCATGGAGGGTAAATTTGCTCATTTAATAATTTAACTACGGTTACCTTATTCTCAATCACTTAAAATATGCATGCAATGTCAGTATATTTTCGGTTGCATAATACATGTGGTTTAATTTTCGGCATTTAAAGGTGAAGTGCAGACAAATTTCCCAAACAACGAGTCCCAAAAAAATTGAAAAAAGAAAATGACACACATCACCCTTAAATTCAAACTATGAGTTTCTCAGACAGATTTGCCTCTATCTTTGTAAACTCAGTGCCATGTGTCTGTGTTCAGGGGCACCCAAAGGTATAGAGTTTAATTCAGTGAAGGAGGTTCTGCTGTCTCTGAAAGCAGTGAAGGCCATGCATAGCCTACATCTATGGGCTCTCACCATTGGCCAGAGTCTGCTGTCTGTTCACATAGCTATTGGTAAGTTTACTAAATAACACCTGCTTCACAGCATTGTTTTACAGTTATTCTTTAACTGTTCATTTGTCTTGTTAAAAGCTATGTTAAAGGTGTCCGTTTTGTGCCTCTTTTGTTGTCCCACTGATATAACTACTGATTTAATTACAGGACATGTTATTTAGTACATAATTTTTTATATATTATTTAAGTGTGAAATTAAACATTTTTAAATAAAATATTTAAAACATTTGTATTATTTTTTGTAATTGTTTATTATTATTTAAATGTAAAAACGCTTATTTTTATATGAATATTAAATTTCTATTTGCATGTCTCCATTTATTACCATTACATTTTAATGGGTTTAAATGTTACTTACATTTTGCTGTTTTTACTGTCTTTTATTTATATTACAAATTAAGAACCCTGTGGTTCAAATTGAATTTAATATTTTATTATTTATTTACTATTATTATTTGATTACAGTATATTGTCCTCAAGGTCAATTTTTTTTTATTTATTTTTTTTTGTGAGTGTGGGAAGGGGGAATAAGTTGACACATATCATGAAATCCTTCAGACCAAATTTGGCTTTTACAGCACAACCATTCAAGTGGAGCCTTATTGCGAGGACATGATCCACTGCGCCCAGTGCCAGGACCCTATGGACTAAGTTCTCCAAGCGCATCGGTGAGAGGAGGCTGCCTGTATAAAATGTATGCACACATATTAAGCTTCATTGAGGGTCCAAGCCAGAAATGGAAACACTGTGCAAATGTCTCATCTACATATCACTACGAATATGTACATGCCAAATGCATTTTTATCGATTAACAAGAAAATTTAAAAAAAGAGAGATTTCACACTGTGCCATCTTAAAAGTGCATCTTCAGCATCACAAATGCATTGGTTTATGGGAGGAATAGCTTTAAAATGAAGTGTTGATGTTCAGTTTTACATACTGTATGCAAAGATCAACTGAATTGAGCGGCAGCACATAAATATGAGGCCTGGAGGCATCACTGTGAGCCTTTTTATTGTGACATTGCAAGGTTTTGCTTGGCCAGCTGGCATCGTATATTACAGCAGAAGTGTACTGTAATTGCCTGTCTGTGGTCTTGGGAGGGTAAAAGATGGGTATTGACATGACTTCCTTAAAAACAATTAAAATAGGGTTTATTATGCCCCAGCCAGCCTTGCGTCCGCTGTCAGCATGGTTCTCTAATCAATGTGAATGTCCGCCAAACTGCGGCATGATGTTGTAGGGCTTAAAAAGAAATTGTGCTCAAGTGTAATTATGGATTTTGTTGGCGATCTCTCACTAATGTCTTGTCTCATGGTACAATACTATTTGCAAAAGCAAGCGGGTGATTAACTCTGTTCTTCCTCACTGGCTGTGATAGTGAAGGTGCTGTTGTGGTTTTCATGTGGCTTTGAAAGAACAGTGGAGTCAAAATGGCTGATGAATGAAACAACTAAGAGTGATATTAAAGGTGAAGTGTGTAACTATCTTGGTTTCATGTGCAGAAATTAGTATAAGTAAAACATTTGTAGGATATCCCAACAAATTCGCTGAATTTTCAGCAGCCATTAATAGTCTTCTAAGAATAAATTGTATTTTAAAATATTAATAAATTGCATAATTAAAATAGAAAACAGTTTTTTTTACTGTATTCATTTCCACTGTATCAACATTTCCCTGAATCATTATTTGATCAGACTGTCAAAAGTGATATAAAATGCAATTTTATACCATATTTAGATGATAAGTGGACACCGCTTGCTGATTTATACATGCAGTGTAATATAACATCCTAACACATTTCTGGATGTATAGAATATTTTGATGTACTACATTTGCAAAATGTGCAGTATACAACAGAGCACTGTACTGTTTTCCAGCATTAATGCAATTAAACGGACCTTCCATCAAATGTGATGAATGAAGTGATAGCAATATCAACTATCATTTTTATAATTTTTTTGCCTCATTTGAACAAACTGATGAAAATAAAGATATTTTTACACACCAATTGATTAAAACTGTAGAATATACAGTACAGTGCATACATAGTAATATTAAATATTCCATTCTAAGCATAGCCAAGTTTGAACAACAGAAAAGGAGTGGAAGAAAAAAAACTTGTTTGGAATCAATCATTAATTTTGCAGTTTTAGATGGCGCTAGTAGTGGCACAGAAATTACACACTTCACCTTGCTATGATGCTGTTGTGGGTCACTCTGGTCTCTCAAAGTCAAGCATGCTTCACACCCTCCATACACTCATGTCTTCAGGCTCTGTCCAGCCGTGGTCTTTGATGACACACACACACAAACACACGTTTTGCACAGGATTTCCATCTCTGATCTCGGTGCCGCCACACTGCCGCAATGACTCTATGACATTCCAGCAAGTGGTGCAACACTTTTCTCATGTCTCTGTAGTTCAACACTGAGGTCATGGCAGTAACATACAATAACGTAGCACATGATTTCTGAATGTCTTTTAAAAAACATTTTTAATTTAAACCACGGTTTTCTTTTAATTCTTATTTTGGTAACAACTTTCAGAGCCCCTAAATGTGCACTAATGTTCATTTACATTATATGTGAAGATTTTATATAAATAGAACACCGAATATGATTTTAAACTAATAAAAGACACACTTGACAGATGATTATTGTGTTTTAAAGCTTGCGTGTACTGATAAAATGTAGCCATTGTGATCTGTTGTGGCGTTGTGAAAGAGTTTTAAGGGTTTGCTTTGCATGGTTGCTTTGTTTTTTTAAGTGAATGCGATTTAGATGGCCAGTCATCATAAATGATCAACCGAAGGACCTCGCAATCTCACTGAAATTCATTAAATTCTATATTTTGTCTATTTGTTTTGATAAAATGAATATATATTTTAAATGTGAATATCACAGTCATTTATAAAACAAGAGAGAGCGAACAAAATGATAATATGAAAGGACCAATGCATAAGCAGTATATTTTTGATAATGTTGGGGTTGATGTGCCAAAGCTCTGCTTTAAAGGGGTCATATGATGCGATTTCAAGTTTTCCTTTCTCTTTGGAGTGTTACAAGCTCTTGGTGCATAAAGAAGATCTGTAAAGTTGCAAAGACTAAAGTCTCAAATCCAAAGAGATATTCTTTATAAAAGTTAAGAGTCAGCCACACCTACCTAAAACGGCTCGTTCTAACACGCCCCCACACTGTAAACCCGAACAGTACTACTAACTTATAAAGATTAAGAACACTGCAATTAAAGTCATATAAATGACCTATTAGCCATTGCTACGGATTAAGAGTTATCTTACATTTAGTTACTGGTAACATGAGCGAAATTTCATTGTCAGTTGTCAATAGAGATGAAGCACCACTCAGACAAAAATGTATTTTAAACAGAGTAGTTTTCTGTTGATCAACAAGTGAATTTGCGCGAATTGGAAAAACTTGAAAACGAGCGAAATCTGTGTGACCTATTTCACCCTCAGGTGAAACTTCCATTCGCGACTGGTACAACGGAGCAACGGTAATAGTGACCGCACCTTTATAAGTTACTTTTTAAAAAAAAAACATCTTCTCAAGTGTCTTATATCATTAGATCTATCTGGTAATATTATTAAACAGCACATAATACTTTAGAGAGACAACCAAAAACATCACAGAATTCATAAAATCTATTGCGAATAGGCTACTTACCGCTTTCGCTGTTTTTCACTTCCTGCATGATGTCATGTCATGTCGTGGATTGGCTTTTGTGAAAGGCTCTAAAAACCTATTGTTTTTCCTGAAAACCTATAAATTGCTTATTAAAATAACATAGGACACACCTAAAATATTTCTTTATAAATAGACCTTTTTCCATATGAAAAGCATAATAAATTAAAACTAATATGATTCACATCTTAACAAATTGCGAGTATATTTTATTTAATATGATTAAAATACATGTAGCCTACTGAAAATGTACTGCATAACAGGAATAACCTGCATGTGTTCATATGCTTCTGATTTTAAGGGTTTTTAATTAAAATGTTGTTCCAGGACCAATAAAAGTCTTCCTACTTGCATTTTTAAACATAAGGTTGTATAGCTTATGCAACCTTACATCTCTGGGAAACAATCAATAATCAGATATTCTTAAATTAAAGTAAAATACATAGGATTCATATTAGTCATACAACAAGAGTGGGAAAACCTCAAAGTATTATTTGCTAGAATAAGTCGGAGACTTATTGAATATTGCACACACAGCGTCACGACTCAAAAGGTAAGATGAATATGACAAATCCAAAATCAATTTCAGATGCAGGTGCACTCAACCTAATGGAAGCTTCAAAACTGATAGCAGAGCGCGAGATGGTTCTGCATTTTGTGTCATGAACTGAAAGACATTAATGTTGTTCCGTGGAAACTGTAAATAATCTACATTATTATTTTTGTCGTGCCTCAGATTTGTGTATGTGTACAGTATATAAATTTGCTTCTTGTATAAACTTATGCGTCTATAAACGTCCTGTGTGTAAATGTTTTATCCTTTATGTGACTACATAAAGCCACTATATAACCAGAAACTAATGATGGATATTTAATTTTTACATGCTTTTAATTTTATATGTCACATAATGTGTATGGTTTTTGTAATCTGTAATAAAATCATGCAAATCAACCTTTTCCAGTGTCTCTCACAAGAATAATGATACCATGTTCTAATAATTAGTGGTAAACAGCAAAGCAATTTTATTTAAAATGATGATGAAACAATATAAATACACTTTTCTGTACCTAACAACAATTCAGTAAACAGTACAAAAGAAATATAATTTACAAAGTATGAATATTTACTGTTAAAACAGCCCAAAACTACTAACCATATCTTGAGCCTCACAGTCAGATTGAGATATTTAAAATAACACACTAAATTGAAATCCATTATAATAAGCTTCCTTGTTTAATCTTATCTGACAGACCGCAGCAGCATTAAACTGACTGACACCTTTCCAGATTCTCATCACTGGAGTTAATTATATTCACTCAGGCAAAATTGAAGTCATGAATTATGAGACGGGTATCAAGGTGCATCTGATCTTAACGTCAGAATGCCTTTGGGTCAGGGACAAAATTAACTCACATGCAGGCTGCAGTTATCAGCGGAGTTCATGATGCCCTTACAAATTTGGCTAGACCTGAGTAAGAACATTTAACCCAACCGCTGGGTCAAAACAACCCAATTGCTGGGTTTGCCCCTATTTTACCCAGCACTGGGTTGTATTTAACCCAGCATTTTTTAGAGTGTAGGAATAACAATACTGGACCAAAAAAAAAAAATCATCAAGATACAGAATTAAAGGAATCGTTATGCCAAAAATGAACATTTTGACTACTTACCCTCATGTCTTTCCATACCTGTATTACTTTATTCCTTCTGTGGAGCACAAAAGGAGACATGTTCACGAATGTAATGGCCACTCTTTTCCATATTAAGAAAGTGAATAGGGATATGGGCTCCAAAGCTTCAAAATGACCAAAATTTCAGAAAATAAATCAAAACAATGAAGTACACAGAACACTTTATTACTTGTTCCATATGAACATAAAAAGGCCCAAATTTAGGTTACTTATAATCTTCTCATCATATTCGCAATGCTGCACTGTGATTGGACATGTAATCGTCAATGATTGGTCAACTTGCAATGACATCAGAACTAACATTCTATCTAAAGGCCTGATATTTGAATATGTACTGTAGATGAGGACAGTGAAGGGCAAGAATTTACATATAGAATGGAAAAACATTTATATTGTCATGTTCCACAGAAGAAATAAAGTCAGGTTTGAAACGACATGGTGATGATGTTTCATTTTTGTGTTACTGTTCCTTTAAAATGAAGATTTAGGGTAAGAAAGCTAGAGCTAAAGGGAAAAAACAGATCTTGATATAATAGCTAAATGAACAGATCTAATCAAATGTTTTCTCACTAAAGGTCAAGATGGATATGTTTCATCATTATATAGCACTGAACTGGAACAGAAGGAAACAGAGAATAACGCTCCCCGTAAATGAAACCACACATACTTTGGAAAGGACAATGTATCAAGATAAAGATACTAAACTCTGTACAGCACTAATACTAATAAAACAAAACGCACAAAAATATAAAACCAGGAACGTACAGAGGCTTGTATCAAAATAGTTTTCCTTCTTTCAGTATAAGTTAAGCATAAAAAGTGTGTGTCATCAGTCTTCTAAAAATGACAGTCTCTCAGCCTATTATGACAGCACAGTCCATTTGAGGATAGAGCTGAGAGGCTGAGGGGGTGGAGACTAGTGCACTTGTACTGTATCCGCTGTGCTGTGACGGACAGCTGTTGCAGAGTCATCGGGCTCCTGAGACTGGAACATGGCACTGAACTGGGCTTGAGCTTCACGCAACTGCTTGAGCATCACGGAGCAGCTCAGTCCACGTACACAGTTCACACGCACCAAACCTGACTGCCCGCCCGACAGGATCCAGTTGTACGCATCCATGTTTGGGTTAAAACGGACCTGAGAGAGTATAAAAGCAGATTTTCTGAAGTAGATAGTTTGCATGTCATTGATTCGAATCATTCACATCACTTTAGGGGTGAGTAGCTTGCATTTGGCACTTGATTAATGTTAATTTTGGCCCCTGTGTATATATATATATATATATATATATATTTATGGTCTGGACCTCTACTCAGGTTAATTAGTAATTACAAAGGTCCGTTTAACCTTTTGTTCCTGCATGTCCTCTGTGGGTCACTGGACTATACTGCCAGCAATAAAGGATTTCAGCACAGCTCTAATTACTCTGTGCATGTGGCTCTGCTCAACAATAAACAAGTCTGCTGCTGGAAGACATCCAGTTCTGCCTTTAACTTCCTCCTTGGCCACAATTCTTTCTGAAATTATATTCTTGAATGAAAGTTTGATCTTCAAACTTTTAGATATATCTTACATGGCATTTTACAACAAAACAGATAAAGAAAGAATAATTTAAAAACAAAAGAATAAAAATTAAAAACAATCTATCCATCATTTTAATAATTAAACCATCTATAAAATTAATATAATGAAAATATTTGTACGTATGCATGTATGTGTACTGTGTACATTTAATGTGTACATAATTTGAATCTAATCAAAACTGAATTTCTAGTAGAATTTCATAGCACACAAACTACAAATTTACTTTATACAGAGAAATAACTAATCATTATATCAATCAAACGCAAGTGGGCATTTCTTACAATCCTTCTAACTATTCCTTATTTTGTCTTATTCAGAAAAATTCACCTTCTCAATCTACACAGGCTGCTTTCCTGCTCTCCTCCCATCATCCACTCTAGATCCAGAGTGACATTTTCCTAATTTTACAGGCCATTAGCTTCTGTCCATCTTCTTGCTTAATTCTCAGCAAACCACCCACTCTTTCACTGGCCTGTGCAAATACAGCAGTGCACTGGCTCTGCTACACACAACTATAGCTTATCTAAAACCAGTAACAATACAGCTAATACAGGTTCAGTCTACACAAGGTGATTGTTGATGGATCACCTATATGGGGAACATATTTAGAACCAAAATCTTATATTACATGGTGAAAGCATATATCATATTTTTTTAACACAGCTCTCTTGAATACTTGATTTTGATTGGTCTACGGCAGATCCTCTTGGTCTAGTAGGTGGTCAACAACTATAAAAAATCCCCTCGGATTTCAGATGTTATCCTGACATAAGACAGGAATCAGATGCAGCTGGCATGCAGATTTTCAGGTTATTTCACAGCTCTACACTGATAGGGTGCTGCAGGTGTCCGTGAGGGCCTCAGCTGGGCTTGTAAACTGCTGTATAGATAAATGCAATCTTACCTTGTAGAGCGCGCTCAATGGCATCTGGTCCACTTTAGCAACACCTTTGACCTCATGCTGGTGCAGGTGCTTCATCATGGCCCGATTTTCACTCTTAGCAAAGTTCCCCTGAGAGAAAAAACAAAAAACAATGTGTGAATACCCGCTCCAGAATTAAGCAAGCATTAGATAAGTAGGCATAGCTTTACCGTTCCCACACTTATTATAGAGGGTATCATCGACTACTTCACATTACAATCCACGTCACGTTCAAAATGTCACAATATCATAATTAGATAGCTACTGAAACCCAGCGTGTCTAGTTTCAATCTATCATCTCGCAGTTTGATTTACTTTTGCATATTACAGTGCATCATTGGCCATGTTCACAAAGCAACAGAAAAAAGATTCTCATTGTGGTTTGGAGCCAAATATGGTTATACTGTACATCTTTTGTGAAAACCTTTCTTTTGATGAAAGAGACAAGTGTATTCTAGAAATGAAGATACTATGACAGTATGTGACTTAAAAATAATGACTTAAAATTCAGTCTTTTCCTCACACAAAGCTAGAGCAAGATGGATACTAAAATTGTAGATAACGCAATAATTATTTTCATGTTATTCCTGATTAACAATAAATGGCTGGTTACAATATTTTAACATTATAATGTTAATATTCTGTGTAAATAATAATTTAAAAAAAAAACGCTAAAAAAACAAACTAAAATCACAATATTTAAAAATGTAACATTTAAAAAAAAAAATTCAGTATGGAAAATGTTAAGATTTGTGGTAATGTACATGTAAAATAGATGTAAATGAACATTTGTGCAATATTAAATTATTTATTATGAAAAATAAAATTATATATATATAAAATAACATACCATAAGTACCAAATTTAGTACTGCCCTGAATAAGATATTTCACATATAAGATGTCTATATGTAGTCCACAAGACAAAATAATAGCTGAATTTATAAAAATGACCCCATTCCAAATTTCACATAGACCTATGCTTAATTCTTAATACTGTGTCACTACTTAGATGTTTTGTGATGGTTGAGGCCCCAGAAGGAAACACAATGCATTATGGGTGTGAAAACTTTTGAAAAGGATGAAGATGTGTACATTTTTCTTATTTTAAGTATCATATTTTTTTCCATTTAGTACTGCCCTTCAGAAGCTACAGAAGATCCCTACACGTTTCCAGAAGACAAAATAAGTTTTCCATAATCTCCAAATTCAGAAAGTTTTCAATCCCCCCCTTAATACATTAGTGATTGTTTGTATGTTTATCAGTGACTGTTACCATACCCTTGGCATTGATAGTGTTCTGCTCTACTATGAATTAATTGAAAAAGAACCAACTACTGCAGTTAATCCAACAGTGGTCACTGGTCACAGTCCAGTGGTATCATTCAGACCATTGTTCTTTTGCTGGCTGAATGTGTGTGTGTGTGTTTGCAGGGATGACGGAGGACAGATCAATTAGCCCAATTCAAACAGCTCTGGACTGAGTTTCCCAAAAGCATCATAAGCCTAAGAAGATCGTAGAACCAATGGCACCAATGGTTTCTACGATCAACTTAGTTCACAACGCTTTTGGGAAATGCAGCCCTGCCCTGTTCCAGACCGTGGCCTCAAAGTGGACATGTGCAGTGTGCCGTGGATGAACGGACGGATGGGGGTGGAGGGGTAGAGGGGTGGAGCGCTGGAGCGTAAGACGGCAGAACAGATGGAGCATCTCTGTGATGGGGGGTAGGCCTCCAGGCGGGCATGACTTTAAATTAATGAAGGGTGCAGAACTTAATCAACATATAACACATATGATGCACGATGAGTCTCATAGGGATATGAGAGAGAGGGGTGCCACTACGCTAACATGCAGACTCTCCTCCACTCGCTCAGGTGTGCTGGGAAAATAACAAAGCCAATAAATCTAATCCGGCCACAGCACCTGCACAGTCCGCGTGTAATGATCTGTGGAATAGGCTGCAGTACACAGTCGGTATCACACACAGCTTATACACACACTACCGCTATCATATTCACACATTAATGAGGCCACTAATGGATTTTTACATGGTCTTGCAAACACATACATACAAGTCAATGTTGTACACAGAAAAACATACAGAAAATCAAGGGCGTATCAACTATTATAACTGGGGTGGACATGTCCCTCCCACTTCCAGCAATTTACACCCATTGTTGTTGAGTATTAAAGGGATAGTTCAACCAAAAATGAATATTCTGTCATGATGTACTTACCCTCATGTCATTCCAACCCTTTGGTTAACACAAATTGTAATATTTGTAATGACACCTGAGAGGTTTCTGTCCCTCCATTGAAAGTCTCAGTAAATAAAACTAAAATACCCCCAAAAAAGATCAAAAAAGGTCATAAAAGTGTCATAAAACTATAATCTATATGAATCAAATGGCTTAATCCAAGTCTTGTGAAGAGATACAATCACTTTATATGATGAACTGATTTATTTTAGGATTTCATGTACATCTAAATAATGATTGGCACAAATACATGCACATATTGTAAACACAGAAGTTTGTGTTTACAAATCTCATTGTTTCTTCTGTATCCCATATGAGATGTACTGTATATGTGTTTGTGTGTTAAAAGCTAAAATCATATAAAGCAATCATATCTTTTCAGAAGACTTGGATTACATGGCACGCTTCATACAGATTCTTTTTACAAGCCTTTATGAACGTTTTGGATTCTTTTAAGATCTGGTATTTCAATGGACAAACTGAAACCACACAGGTTTAATTAAAAATATCTAAATTTGTGGTTTGACGATTAACCAAACGCTATGGGTTTGGAATGGCATGAGGGTGAGTAAACGATGACAGAATAAAATTTTTTGGATGAAAGTCACATAAAACGGCACCTCCAAGTAACCCTAATATGGCTAGCGCCAGCCCGCTTTTCAACAAATCAGTAGCTCAAACTTTAGAGCATGGCATTAGCATGGGTTTGATTCCCAGGGAAAACAAGAACTGACAAAATCTAAACATGTGCCTTGAATGCAGTGTAAGTTGCTTTGGATAAAAGTGTGTCTGCCAAATGCATTATATAATTAATATTCATGAGCCTGCCTGATAAGGTTTGCAGTGCACCACATTACTGTTTTTTTTAAAAACTATTTTGTGCAGAGCTCTGGTAAAAATGAAAGAAAGGTGATTATGTGGCAACAAAAGATCAATACTCTCAAAATCTGATTTCCTACATCATTTCCCAAGCACGGAGACCTTGTCATGAAGAAAACTGCTCAAAGATGGAATTAAACAATGACTGCACAAAAGTCATTTAAAAGACATCTTTTTGAGTTTCTCACCAGGTCCAAGTCATGAAAGTGGAGATAGTACTTTCTGATTGCTCCTTTGTAACTCAGTGGCTCCTTCCTAGGATTACTAGCAGCATTTTCCACTTCCTCCTCCTCCTGTTCCTTATCTCCAGGCCTCTGACCGGGTTGAAACTGGACCATGTCAGTCCTGTACACTGACTATGTGGGTTGAGCAAAATAGTCAATGTTAATGAAAGGTTTCCATATGTGGGAATTCAGATAAAGTGATAAAGAAACATACATATCTCCGTCGTCTGATAGTGTTGGGGTCGATGTCCATTTCAGGAAGCGAACTAAATAAACAATCTCCTCCATTGTCCACAACGGCAAAAGTATTTATCCAATCAGACATAGAAAGGCTCTGAAAAAAGTTGTCATTATTAAACCATATCGTCAGCACTAAACCATGTGGAGACGTTGTGAAATGTCTACATACCCATATAGTGGCTTTTCTAGGACACACAAAGTAAGGCTTGATTCCAAGGTAACCTGAATCAAAATAGTGAACCCCATGTTGTCCAAACCTACACAGTGCAAAGGCAAACGATTATTTAATAAAAATATAAATATGTTGACTGACTTAAAACTTCAAAATATCATATAGACTAACGTGGCAAAGCAACACTCTTGAGCCACCAGGATGCCGCTCCAAAAGAGGGGCCAGTACACTTCAGTGGACAAGCAGCGCTTTACTGCCAAAAGAGGCACGTAGGTTTTTCTCACATCCCACATTTTTGCCATGCGGTCATCTCCGACTGTCACCAACAAGTTACTGCCAACAACAGCACACAACAATAGCAGATAAAAACATTATACACTGTTATTAACGCTTTTTTCATACCTCAGCAAAATTGCAGATAAATCAATATTTTAGAGAACGTTCAAAAATAACATTCCCATAATGTTTGTGCAATTATGAAAATGGATGTCATCTCCCTTGATGTTGTCTCTATGTTTTTTTAAACATTTAACACTGCTTTGAGCTGAGTTGTAGTTAAGTGCTTGCAACATGCAGAGATCAAACTAGCAAGCTTCTAGTCACCACTACGCCACACCATCCCCCCCAAAAAAAGAGAGGGACCAAGGCTGCCGTGAGCTAGTGTCCTGTCGTTAAAATGAGTATATGATGCAATCTGGGAGGAAATCATGTAAATTCAGTGTCTGTACTTCTCCTCTTCACATCTGGCCAGTTAAAGGGCAGAATAGACAGCTGATCCCCCTGCCAACCCTCTTGCTTGAATGCTTGAAGTTTGCTGCATGCGTAGTTGCGTACAATCTGCAACCCTTCAGAGCAATAACACACAGAGACTGTTCTGCTTTTTCTGAGGTTGAGGTATATCTGAATTCTACATTTTGAGAGTCTAAAGAACAAGAACAAAATGTTCCAAACACAAGAAATCTCCACCTTTTACTAGCCCCCTGTGGTGAGTGGGATAGGGTGTCATTTTCCAAATGAACTTCTCTAATGCCACTTACAAGAGTCTCTTATAAGGTCACAGTGCTTTAAATGTAAGTGCTAAGAGCAGGCTGCTGAAACTACTGATGCTGAAACACATGATTGGAATGGTAATGTATTTGATCTAGACTGCTTCTCTGTTACTAAATGAGAAAACTCCACAGGTGTGCTGTATCATAGCATGAATATCATACAGATAATGTCACACATAAAGATTTAAATACACTACGAATACCAAATTAAATGAATGATACTGAACACTACAATCAAACATATCGGGCATAACAAAAGGCGTTTGCATGAAATATTTTCACAGTTTATATTCAGTTAAGATCAAGAATCTCCTTTTTAAATAAATGCACACTTCTGTTTAAAAGTTCCAAATAACTATGTTTTTGAAATAGGTCTCACATGCTCATCAGGGCTGCATTGTTTTTGATAAAAACAGTAATATTGTGAAATATTATTATCAAAATCTGCTTTCTATTTGAATACATTTTAATATACAATTTATTCCTGTGACAGCAAAGCTGAGTTTTCAGCATTACTTCAGTCTTTAGTGCCACATGATCCTTCAGAAATCACTCTAATATGCTGATTTGGTGCTGAAGAACATTTCTTCTTATCATTAAGGTTGAAAGCAGTTATTCTGCTCAGTATTTTTCTGAAAACTATGCTACTTTGTTCCAGATTTCTCTCATAAACAGAAAGTTCAAAAGAAGATCATTTATTTAAAATAGAAATCTTTAAACCCAATCAAAAAAAAAAATAAAAATTGTAGTCTTGTCTAATCCGACACATGATGCTAGGACTGATGGTTCTCACCTTGAGGCTTTGCACCAGCACAAGGTCCGGATGTTTTCGTCATGAGCATGGAAACAGTGGTAAGGGTAGAGATACACACCTCCGTCTGGAGACTTGACTTTCAGTAGTGTAGACTTACTAGCAAGATCCCATAAACCAACCAGACCTGGAAAAGAAAAAGTGCAGTGATTGCAATATGCATATAAACCAAGGTATTTACAATTAGCATTTCTGTTTAGAAGAACATAAAGGCCTATAGACAAAACATATGAAATCACCATCATAGAAGCCAGCAGCCAAGAGGTTATGTGGTTTGACATGGAGCCAATCCATAGCAAAGCACAGACCACTTTGACCTTTATGATCCGCCTGGTTGGAGCCCATCTTCAAAGTCAGAACCTTCTTCACCTGCAAAAACACATCACAATAAAACTCACTAGAATACGTCATCCATCTGTAAAGATAAAGAATTAGGCTATATTACAATTTTTTTTTAATTGCATAGAGATTATATATTTATATAATCTTTCAATCTATATGCACTATTTATAGTATGTAATTAATATTAATAAATAATTCATAATAAAGTTTTTCATGATAATCACAATTTAACATTTGCTCAATAGTCAATAGCTGTTTCATTCTGCCATTATCCAAAAAAAGTCTGCATTAATCCTCCTCTCTGTGCTTCACATTTAGTTTGAGGAGCCCCTTCTACCATGACAGCTAATTTCCAAAAGATCATCTCTCGGATGTGTGAAAATGTTAAGTAGACAGCCCATATAACAGCCCTGAGGAGCCATACTGAGAACAGTTTTAGTGAAAAGTCACCTCAACTGTGAAATTGAGCTACAGTGAAAATTACACGTCAGATTCAAGCAAACATGTATGCAATGATCTCTTGCAATTCAAGTCAGATGCTTTAGGTCTAATGCAGTGAAAGTGTAATATGTCATTTACTGAAACAAAGACTGAGGTTTTATCTGTGAGAATACGAGGCATGCTAGCAGAGTGGATATTGACCTACCCGGCATATCAACGGTGCTTGGCTGGTTTCTCCTATTGGAAAACACATAAATGTGTTCAATGCTGTGCACTTATACATAGGAGAATTACTAGTCAACACATGACTGCATTTATCAAGAAAAACAATCAAAGGAACAAGGATCAAATGACATGTGCTTATTTGAAATAAAGTAAAGTGTAAATAAGCAGCGGGTTAGCTTAATGTCATCATTTAAAGGGGTCATACACAGTTCATTCTATCTAATTCCTGAGTTTTATTATTATTATTATTATTATGCATCAAACAGAGTCATGATTTAGCTTATGACCATTTTCCACTCTCTCTCTCTTGGACCATTAGAATTAAATGGTCTGTTTTTGCTTTTTTTATGTACGTGCAAAATGCTTCACATGCAAAATGAGTAACAGCACATTACTGAATAGATCAGAACTAACAGATTTCCCTAATTAAAACCAATTTAACACAACCAGTACTATAAACACTGCAAAATCTGGAAGTTTGAATCAGATGTCTATGTATATCTGTATGGCTGTAGTGGTCGTGCTTTAAACAGGGATTCATATTCTCAATACACCAACAATAGAAAACAAAAGTGAAGTGCTAGAGGTGGTGAATAGAGTCACGAGTATGAAAGTGTGAGAGACTGTGGACAGACACTGTGTGTGTGTATGAGTGTGCAAAAGTGATCTATAGCCACGCGGCTTTAGGTCGGAGCCATACACAGCGGTGACGGGTCGATCAGATCGATAAAGCATCGCACCTCTGATCCACTCATTCTGGCAGCGTGGCAGACAGCCCTGACCAGGGGCCCTTTCTCTGGGCTGACTAAGGTCTTTTTGATTGACAGGCCCGGAGGAAACGGGTGTCAGGTATTCGGCTGAAATTCATAGCCTCAAACACTAACAACTGTGTAGCGATGCATCTTTTTTTGTCATTTCAATTATAGATCCTTGTCTGATGAAAACAAGCCAGTAAATGATCTCCATTGAGAAGGGAGGAGTCTGCGTCTCTCTCGTCACCTTTTTACGGGACACCCTTTCACTTCAGCGAAAACCTATTTATAATTATCTACCATAAACCCTCCAGACCTGAGAACATAATGGGAATGTGGTTAACTGTTTTATCACTAGCCTTTTGAAACGTGTCCTATAATTGCTACTGTGGGTCCTTTTCAATCAATAAACAAACCAATAATCAATCTACAGTAAGAAAATGTTCAAATGAATGCATGTGTGCTGCATATAATACAGAGATTTGCATGAAATTAGAAGGAAATATAAATGAACAAAAACCTAAAGAAAAAATTAAACCGTAAGACAACAAAAAAGCAATAAAAAACTAAATTAAAGACAACTAAACAATAAATAAATATTAAAAACAAACAAAAAGATCAAATAAAAGCCAAATAAAAGATACAAATAAAAAAGGAAAGCAAACAATCAAAAAGCTAAAAAAACAAAAAATAAACAAAAATAAAAATGTTTCTTAACATTTATATGCACAATAAATATTAACGTCTAAACAAAAACCATAAAAATAAAATAAAATGCAACACAAAAAACAAAAAGTACATAAGCAAAAAACTAATTACAATTAAACAACATAAAATAAAATAAAACAACAAAAACTAAAAAAGCAATGCAAAACTAAATTAAAAGACAACTAAACAAAAAATTATATTAAATATGAACAAAAAGATCACATAAAAGCTAAATAAAAACAAAAGTAAAACAAACAAAAAGTTAAAAACAATAAAAACAAACAAAAATAAAAACATTCCCTTACATTTACAAATATTAACAAAATAAATAAAAACTTAAATAAAAACTAAATAAAGACAAGAAAAAATACATAAACAAAAAACTAAATACCAATAAAACAAAATTAAATAAAACAACAAAAACTAAAATAAATAAATAAATACAAATAAAAAGCAAGTAAAAATATTTAAAAAGCAAAATAAAACAAATCAAGTAAAACAACAATAAAAGCACATTAAAAAGATACCAAAAACTAAAAAAAGACAATAAAACCCAAAAATGAAAAACAAAACAAAAAAAAGATGGTAATTTATATGCACAATGTCTATCTAACACACTCTCTGTACCACACACATGCTATAAAAGCCAAAGAGCAGGTCTGAGGTCAGTGAGAAGGACCGTACGCTCAGTAATGAAGGTTAGTTCCCTGAGGGTGGAAAGAGTTCTTAGCCAGAGCTCATTGCCGGGTCACTGACCAAAGACATCAGGAGAGTGAGTCCAGCAAGAACCACAAACAGCCTGTCAACAGGAAACGGTTTCTGAGCCCATCCCAGGGCCAGTGTGGAGATGTTAAACTGGTGGAGTGTGAGAAGCAATTTCTGTGGTAATATCAGGAGAACACAATGGGAATACAAAGAGCAGCGAGAGAAAGAATAGCGTTTGAAAGGTCATACAGCATTTTTTTAGTTGGACAATATCCAGCCTATCATTCAACCAAGATTTCTTTCTATTATATTCCCCTTTTAATACTCCACTAAGAATTGACACTAACAACTTCAGTCTTTTGAGAGAAAGAGATTTTTAAAGAAAGCATTTGTTACATCCGAACAGCTCCCTCTGGCCTGAGGAAAGTGTAATTAGGAAAACATTAAAGCTTAGAGTAGGATCAATGAATTAGAAGCTCACAAACAGAGAGAATAAGACACTGGCAGCACTGAAGAAAAGAGATGGTTCATTAATGAACAAGGGCAGTTGGTTTCTTATCTCTACTGGAGCAGGGCCTGAGTCTACCACACAGAGGGACCAGAAGGATGGACCGTATCACTACTCAATAACTAGAGAAATCTAGTACAAAAGCTGAATGTCTGAATGATAAATAGTGAGGATGGCAATGCAATGGCCCTTGTTTGCTAGTGGAAAGTTTATTACTCATACTGTGTTATGAGGATGAGGATGTGAATGACAATGTATTTAAGTGTCCAGGATTATAAAAAACAAAAACAAAAGTTTAATTAATACATTTAAAAAAAATAATTCCATGATATTTCCAGGTTTTCCATGACCATTCTTGACAAAACATATTTAATAAGATTATTTTTTTTAATTACACCTTAAATATTATGTTATTACATTTTATTGAAATTATTATTATTATTTCATTTAACTATATGTTCAAATAATATTATATTTAAATGACTTATTGTATTTGTGTTGTATTTTCAATTACTTGTTGCATTTATGCTGCTTTTTTGATAATTTTTCAGTAATAGAAAGTTGAAAGGAACAGCATTTATTTGAAATAGAAAGGTTTTCTGGCATTACGTCTTTTATGTTACTCTCAGTAAATTTAATGCTGAATAAAAGTATTCTTTTTTTTTTTTAAAGGAAAAAAAATACAAATTTACTGTACCTTAAACTTTTAAATGGATATTTATTATAATTATTATTATATATAAAAATACAATTATTTGTATTTTTTTTTTTTTTACAAATTTTATAACGCTTTTCAAATATTCAAGTTTATAAAAAATTTTATTTACTTTTATGTTAATATGAATTAGTATGACTATAACATTATTAACAAACCAAGAACATTGCAACCACAATTTTGCATTACTGTATCTTAAAATAACGTATTATATTGTAAAGCATGATATATTGTAAAATGATTTTACCGCAGGTACTAGGTGCTGTTAGGCACAACATAAAGAAGAAATGTTTCCATGATGTTTAAACAAGACTGCTACACGAGTTACAAATTAGGTCTCAGTGGTATAATGTAAAAAGTTAATGGTTCGCTTCTTACCGGGTTCAAACCTGCAACCTTTCAATTTGCAGCTTTGATCTTTAACCAGTAGACTACATCACTCAGTATAAATATATTATCTGCTGTTGAGATATGATGGATTGGTAAGCTCTATGCTCAATCAATTAAATTATGATGTGCATTCATCATGTTAACCCAAGGCTGGCATCTGGATACAGTCAGTAAACACAGTAGCAGCAGATCAGTGCTAGAGGGAGAATGCTACACACACAGACACTAGTCTGTCTCTCTCTCTTACTGTCATCATTCGTGATTGTCAGAAGGCTCTTTAGAGTTCAGCCAAGCCTGTGGTACCTGTAGAAAAGCTATCCGTTAGCATTCCCATTTAATGTATGTATTCTGAATTCTGCAACATCTAAAGCAGCATAATATAATAAAATGCTTGCTATTTACATGCTTCTTGCCAAGAATTTCATTTAGTCAGAACACGCTGATTTGTTTGAATGGTCATTGGAAAAATACGCCTTTTGCTTGCAGAACGGTCAATAGCTCATAAAGCAGACTCAGCTAGGAGGAGAGATCAGTATAACTGTAGATAAGCAGCATTTCACTGCTGTGAAAAGGGCGGCCGCTAATCAAAGGTTGAAGGCAGTGAAACTCAAATAGGCACTAGTCCCTCCCTACTTTTCTTTTCTAGCTCTCTCACTGTGACCGTGATGAATGAGAAGCCCTGGGAGGATAATCTTTTGCAAACACACACACACACACACACACACACAGTACAGATAATATGTGTTTAAGAGAATGAAAGAAAAGAGGAAAACAGGCTTTTGCAAACACAAACACACACACACACACACACAGTACAGATAATATGTGTTTAAGAGAATGAAAGAAAAGAGGAAAACAGGGAATGATGCGGCGGATGGCAGGTCATCAGTCTGTTCCCAGCACTCCCTGAGGAGAGGCCATTATGAGCTGCCATGGGACAATCAGCCTACGCTGGCCATTTTATCAGAGCATGAGGCCTTGAGATGTGCAATGAAATAAATTAAAATCCTCACATCCACATCTATGTGCCTGAATAGCTTTAAAAAAATATTTGTTTGAAATCTTGTTGTAAAATACTAAAGCTTGACTAATATTGTACAGGTAAGTAGATTTAAAGGGTGGAATATTAATAACAATAATAATAATAATGATAATTGTTCTTGCTGTTATAATGATTTGATTTTATTGATTAATTTATTCATTCATTAATAATAATAGGTACTATTATTATTACTACTGTTATTATTTTATATAATAATAGTAATAGTAATAATACTACTAATAATAATAACAACAACTATTATATAAATTATTACTATTATTATATAATTAAATTTTTAACTATTATTATATAAATAACTATTGTTATATAATAATTGTAATAATAATATTGACTATTATTATCATTGAATGAATGAATTGATGAATCAATTAAATCAAATCATTTTAACAAGATCAATTATCATTTAGTCATTCAATAGTAATAATAATAATTATCATAATAATATTTAATAGTAATAATAATATTAACTATTATTATCATCATTGAATGAATAGGTGAATCAATTAAATCAAATAATTTTAAGTTAGAACAATTATCATTTATTCATTCAATAGTAATAATTATTATTATAATAATATTTATTATTTATATAATAATAATTATTGTTATTAATATAATATTACTTATTAATTTAATTAATAATTATATAATAATAAATATTTATATAACATAAATAATAATAGTTATTGTATTACTAATACTTTTTTGTACTAATCATTACATATTACTAATCAGTTTGTAATCATTATTTGTAATTCTTCCTTCTTATTATTATTATTAAATGAATGAATTTTAATTATTGCTCGTTATAATCATTTGATTTGACCAGTTCATCTTTTCAGTCAATAATAAAAATAATAATAATAATTATTACTATTATTATTATTATTTAAAAAAATGTTAAACAATTATGAATAATTATTTTTATATAATACTAAATAAATAAATAAATAAACAAATAATGCAGTTAATCAATCTTCTGAACAATTTCAGGAAATTCAGTGTGTTCTGTTTTAAACTATGTTTTTCAATATTTGTGAAAATTAAGCAAAGACATCATACAAGATAGATTATGTTTAGTGGTAATGGGAAAAATGCATTATAGCGCTTGGCTTGAGGCTCTTCTGTCTTGTGCTGCCCTCTTCTGGAAGGACCAACACATTGCACATGAATTCACTGGGAGTTTCTAAATTAGGAGTGACTACATTCCAGCAGAGCAGGCATCTCCAACCCTGCTCCTGCAGAGCTACCAATCCACAGACTTCAGGTCCAACCCTGCTCCGACACACTGCTTGTAATTATTAAGTAACCCTGAACATCTTGATTAGCTGGTTTAGGTGTGTTTGGGATTGGAGCTAAACTCTACAGGAAGGTGGCTTTCCAGGAGCAAGATTGGACATCTCTGTTCTAAAAAACAGCCTCATGTGTCAAAGAGACAGAGAGAGTGAAAATAGTTATGAAAAACTAAACTTTGACTGTCTTTGGAACAACCATTTCAAGTGGACATGAATGCAAAAACAAATAAATAAATAAAAACAAATATATATATATATAACCCTACTAAAGAAATAAGAAGCACAGGTTATGCAGTTGACCATTTCCTCACCTTTACTCTGATGGTGTGCTGCAAGGGCTTCTGGGTGTGGAAGACTGTAGACACCAATGGTTCCGTTAGAGAAAGCTGCTGCTAGAACACCTAATCTAGGCATCTGTGGAGCCTGAGAAAAACAAGAAATACATTTACACCAATGTACACTACTTAAAAAAACATTTGTACAGTTGTTTAATACAAAATCCTTATGAATATTCTTAGACTTTTTCCTCTGTCATTTTTAACCTTTCTGCTGGTAGAGGGCAGCTCCCACACTCCCGCAGGACACCACCTTATATTCCAGATGCATCCATCATCTATCGCCAAAGCATATGCTAGATGAGGAGCAGTTGAGGGCCTGAAGTGGGGGGATAAAGTAAAAAAATTACCAATTTATTGTAAAACCCAACATTTCCTTTTAAAGCCGATTTGTAAGTGTCTTATCTGGGTCACCTGCTTTTGCACTGAAGGTCTCCGATGTCCCACAGCTGCAGCAAGACAGGACCTGTGTGCAGCTTATTGATTTTGTGTTCATCATCCATGCCTTTGTGGCAGTAGATGGCGGCATACTGTCTTTTTGCCGCCCCGTCAGGACATGGGCACCACTCCAAGGACCGAACAGGACCACCCACAAAGAACAGAGCATCCCAGCGCTCAGAATGATGTGGCAATGATTCAAACCTGCAGATTAGCATACACCATTACATACGAGTAGACATATACTACTGTTCAAAAGTTTGGGGTCAGTACTTTTTTTTATTATGCATTATTCAGATTTCCATTTAAAATAAATGCTCTTTTAAACTTTCCATTCATCTAAGAATCTTGACAAAAAACGTATCAGCTTCCACAAAAATATTATGCAGTGCAATTGTTTTTAACACGGATAATAATAATAATAAGAAAAGTTTCTTGAGCAACAAATCAGCATATTAGAGTGATTTCTGAAGGATCATGTGACACGGAAGACTGGAGTAAATCACATTTAACATTTTAAAATATATTTATAATATTTAATGTACTATAATATTATAATACTAAAATATTATAATCAATTACTGTTTTTAATGTATTTTTTTTATCAAATAAATGCAGCCTTGGTGAGCATAAAAGACTTCTTTTAAAAACATTAAAAAATCTTGCCAACCCCAAATTTTTGAATAGTAATGCACTTTGCAATTTCCTTAAAAACCCCCCCAAAAAAACCCCGGAAAAGTCGTTAATCTACTAGCTGAGTTTTTCCCAAACTGAGGTATGAAACGCATATTATTGTTATTAATTTTACAATTATTTTAAAGTAAAAATAATCAAAATAAAAAAATATTTATAAATATTTGTTTGTTGAAATAGTGAACTGCAGGGAACCATGAATTTTATTATTAAACATGCAAATGTGTTGTTAAATTATTCCAATATTAACTCTCAGTGAGTACTTCAAGTAAATATTTTTGGTCAATAGGGTTCTGACAAAAAAACGTTTGGGAATCCCTGTACTAGCTTAAATTAATTGTAATACATTTCATATATTAATAACTGCAACAATCACACTGTGTAACAAACATTTGTACAGAAGAGACAATGACAGCGATTGTCAGTGTCATTCAATCCAGTGTGAACGGGATTCAGATTAGTGGAAATGTATATGCTAAACTAATGATATCTTACCTCTTCACTGTTTGCAGTTTGATCTGTCCTTTGATGCTTTCCCGTGTAAAGGTAAAAGAAGCAGATTCTTTCTCTTGGGGTAAATATTTTTCAGCCTCACTGTTAATTGAAACAAAATGACTGTTAAAATGAAGATTTCTTGGATTCCATTAATATTATGTGATATTTAGCTACACTAATACCTCTTAGACAGGAAATGCCAATCTTTGGCAGAAGGAATCCATTCTGGGAATACCCAGGGGGAAAAGTTTTCATCCCGGCTAGCAAGAGCATTTAGTGAAAGAAGGACAAGCATTATTAAGATACTAGTGACAGATTAACTGTTAAATTTGACATCATCTTTTGAAAAGCGGATGGCTTACAATTCTTTGGTCCTACTAAAACAGTTCCAAACAGGCTCCATGACATTGTTAGCCAATCCATTTGGAAGAAGACAATGCTGTTGAGCAGAACACAATTAAAAAATTAGACAACACAGATATGGAAATGAATGTCAAAATCATCCAACAGTGCAAAAGTATCTGATTATGAAACTACTCACATAATTTCCTCTGGGTGGTCTGCAGGATGGTCTGGATAATCTGCGCTCTATGTTCAAGCTGAAGTCTGGCTCTGAATCTTCTTCATCTTCGCTCTCTGCCTCGTCGTCTTTTCCTGGGGAAAAGTCTTCATCGCCATCAGAGTCGCTTTTATAATCTGGAGTTTTTCTTTTGGTCCCCCTTCCCCTTGCAGTTTTCTTTTTCTTGTCAGTGCCATCCGCTTCACCGGACTTGGACGTTTTTTTAATTGAGGATTCTGATGGAGCACCAAGATCCTTGGCAAGGTTGTGGAGATAATCTAAAGCACTAATAAAGAAAATTTGATTATAAAATTTGCAGCTGATCAGAACGAATCACATCCTAATGAAATATAACAAGTTTTTAGTTTTATTGGGTAAAAAATGGCAAAACCGTAATGAAAACACACACAGTATTTCAACCAAAAAAACCTGCGACTAGTTTCACTTTTGTGAAAATAATGCACCTTTTCAAGCAGGTGAAACTGGATTGAAGTTGGTTAATAAACAAGATGTTGGAATTTGTGTTGAAATGCTGTGCAAAAATGCCAAAACTGTTTAGTGATTTTGAGTTTTCGATTGCCATCTGTTTTTGATTGTGAATTTTTTTTTCTTTGAAAAAGCCACTTTGTGAGTAGCTCAACGGTAAGATTGTTGCCTGGTGTGTGGAACAACCTGAGTTCAAGTCCTGATCAGAACATGTCATCTGACCCTTGGTTATTCGGGAGAAAGATAACTCACTCTGCTGCAGGACTGCAATGCATTGGCTTTCAGCAGATATAATAAATATTGTAATGTCTCCCAAACATGTTAACATTGAAAGAGTTTTTTTTTTGCATGTGATTGCTTTATAATGACCAGGTTTAATGCAAGTGTGCATTGTACATTTTACATACAGCATGCAGTATGGATTTTGGGAAATTGCATACAGCTGGAGAACATACACTTTAGCAGCTCTCCTCTTGGGCCGACCACTAGAAGTGAGTTCAGAAGTATCAGAGACTGCTGAACTGTCATGTTGTGGTGGAGTCTGTGGAATGATCTCCTTTCTTCTCCTTTTGGCAGGAGTCTTTGCCTTTGGTCCTTGCTTCTTTCGGGTTTCCTCTGTATTAAATTGGTTTTCCTGATCCATACCTGGGGGAACCTTAGAGCTAGGCGTTTGTCCTAAGAAAGTCACAACAATAAAACAGTTTCAAAGAATGATGTGGGAATAGATATATTTATGATTATACATGCATGCATAAAAAAAGATTAGTAAAAAGGACAAAACTATAATAGTATCTTAATGATACTAATGTAGCACTGTATGAGTTTTTGTCTTTGGCCGCTTACCAGGCCTTTGCATCTCTGACTCTATCTTCTGCGTCTCTGAAGAGTCAAGAACTTCACCTGAATCCTGAGCCGCTCCTTTACTTTCATGGTTAATCTGTGCTGGTTGGTCATCTGTGTCTTTTTCACATGGCAAACCCATTTTTTCACCTTTCTGCTCACCCAACTTTCGAGCAGCAGCTGCCATTAATTCCCGTTCTTTCAAAGAACTCCTGCCAGTACAGTCTAGAAGTACAGAATAATGTTGATTTTACACACAAAGTCGTATAAATATATGGATTCTCCTAGATAATGTAAGTTTCCATGATACTACAAAGTCAAAAGACACATATCCATAACCCAAGGTATTATCACCTCATCATGCACAGTTTTGTTGGCACTTCTCTCTGTTAGTGATACCAGAATTATTCAGTAGTAAATCCACGCATGCGCAAAATAGCGATGACAGGCGACTTGCCTACAGCACATTGAGAATACTGTTTTGTTAAACAATAATTAAATCAAGTAATTAATTCTCCTGCGGCAAAATAAATGCATTTGACATTACTTTGTAGAAAGCTTCCACTCAACATAAAACGGTTTTTAAAATAAATATATAACGTTAGTGCGTTGAGAGATTTTTCTACTGAAGTCTCAGTCTCTTCTAAAATACAACTTTATAATGATTATACATGCATGCATAAAAAAAGATTAGTAAAAAGGACAAAACTATAATAGTATCTTAATGATACTAATGTAGCACTGTATGAGTTTTTGTCTTTGGCCGCTTACCAGGCCTTTGCATCTCTGACTCTATCTTCTGCGTCTCTGAAGAGTCAAGAACTTCACCTGAATCCTGAGCCGCTCCTTTACTTTCATGGTTAATCTGTGCTGGTTGGTCATCTGTGTCTTTTTCACATGGCAAACCCATTTTTTCACCTTTCTGCTCACCCAACTTTCGAGCAGCAGCTGCCATTAATTCCCGTTCTTTCAAAGAACTCCTGCCAGTACAGTCTAGAAGTACAGAATAATGTTGATTTTACACACAAAGTCGTATAAATATATGGATTCTCCTAGATAATGTAAGTTTCCATGATACTACAAAGTCAAAAGACACATATCCATAACCCAAGGTATTATCACCTATGCATGCACAGTTTTGTTGGCACTTCTCTCTGTTAGTGATACCAGAATTATTCAGTAGTAAATCCACGCATGCGCAAAATAGCGATGACAGGCGACTTGCCTACAGCACATTGAGAATACTGTTTTGTTAAACAATAATTAAATCAAGTAATTAATTCTCCTCTCAAAATAAATGCATTTGACATTACTTTGTAGAAAGCTTCCACTCAAAATAAAACGGTTTTTAAAATAAATATATAACGTTAGTGCGTTGAGAGATTTTTCTACTGAAGTCTCAGTCTCTTCTAAAATACAACTTTATAATAGTCTCAAAAGACTTGTTGCTACATTAGGAAAGCACATGAAAGACATGGGCTTTTTCTCCTCACTGACGAGTTTTAACAGTGGCTCAGGCTGATCGTCCCCTCTTTCCTTCAAGCACACAGCAGAAGGTTCACGCGGGTTCGAATCCAACTCACTCGACACAATCAAACACTCACCGCAGTCAGACGCCAGCTAGATACAATGTGTCCGATCCCTATTTACATTAAAACGCTAATATTCAGTTGTGCTGTACAGAAATTTGCTGATTTCCACGACACTCTTCGGCTAGCACTTTAGACATATCAGTTTGCCGTCGCCGCCATGTTGTAACGCTCGCCTGTGACCTCGCTTGCTCACTACCGCCCTCTATCCAGCACTGCCGCCAGAGAGGCTTTTAAATCTGTGCGTAATCCCGCTTGACCACGAGGCGGTGTCAATGTGGTCAAGCAGAGTAACGTTACAGGACTTTGTCACATGCATGTACAAAAATAATAGACACACTCTCCTATTCTCTCCCTTAGATTTTCTTTAAATGTTAAAATTTACGCATAACAAAAAATGCCCTTAGGCTGTGTAACATTAATCTTTTGGAGGTGTATTTTGAAGATTAACCCCCTTGTGTGATATTCTTTTTTAAATTTAAAGTTAAAAAAATATACAATATAATAATGATAATCATATTTGATATAACGTTAAAAATAAATAAAAGTATTAATTAAACATTATTAATATTAATTTAGTATTGATAAATCCAGATGTGGATTCCACAGGAATTAAAAACTGTACACAAAACTGACATTGCTGAACACACATAAAAAAATTAAAATAAAAAAAACAAGCGCACATATAAACATTTATTTTCTGAACGATTTTTTAAAATGTTGTTCACATTTAAACCATTAAAGAGGACTAACTGTACATATTTAACATATGTAGGCTATATCTACTTTGTGCATTCGTTTGCATGTATATTTACATGTAATTTCATGTATTGTTGGCAGAAAGAAATATGTGAATTTGTGTAAAAAAAAAATTAAGGAACAAAGACCTCAACAGACAAATCCATTTCATGGATTTTAATTCAAATCAAGACAACAGCTTTTAAATGCATCTCAACAAACACATTTTCTCTCCCTGACATCCAGGAAGAATTATTCTATAGCACTATGTACCTTCATACTAAAGGCCAATTTAGCTGTTACAGAGCATCATTTCTGTGGTGTCAGAATTACACTTAATAAT